GGGAGCCGCAGCCCCCGCGCCGCCCGCCCGCCCCGCCGAGGCCCTTCCCCGCCGCCCCCGACGGCGCAGAGCCCAGCGAGGCACGGACACCCCCGGGCGGCGCGCAGCGGAGTCCCGGGCGCAGGGCCGCACGTGCGCACGCGGTGCCGCTGCACACCGGCCTGAGCGCGTCGTGGGGCGAGCCCGGCGGCCTGCACGCGGCGGGCGACGGCAGCACCAGCAGCTTCCTGAGCTCGCCCTCCGGGTCCTCGGGCTACGTCACCCTGCACTCCGACTCGCTGGGCTCCGCGTCCTAGGGCCCTCCTGCGCCTTCCCACCGACGCCAGGCAGGCGGGGCTACCCGCGGGTCACAGCACCAAAGATGCAAGCAAGCGCCACCATCCCAGGGGTGGAGGGGAGTGGCCTCTGCGCCTCTCTCTTTTGGATCCTTTCTTCTGGTATTGGCTGGAGGGATGATAGGTGCCCTGGATGACTGCACGGGGCACGGACCTGCTGTTGGTCCTGCGTGGCGCCTGCACATTTACTACACCTCCCCCAACGCTGGGCTGGGGGTACAGGAAACTCTGGGACAGCACCACCAGAACAAAGTCTCCGCCTCCGAGAAGCTGAAACCAGAGCCACAGGAGTGCACTCGACTTTCCACTCTGTTCTGCAACCGCCTCACCCCAGGGATGTGGCATGCAGAGGGTTTCTTTAAGCACAGCGGTCTTTGGAGCCTAAACAAGCTCTCGGAGCTGGTCTCCTGTGACCTGTGACCTCAGTTTTCCTATCTGATGAGCAGGTGATGAACAGCATGTTCTATCTCTCAGGGCCGTTTCATGTCTCCTGGTCTGTGTGCCCTCATCATAGGGTGGACCAGATGTGAGAGGTAGTCTAGGGCCCTTTTGGGGGTGGGGGTTAAGCCTTCAGCATGTGACCCCCAGACCTCACAGTCTCAGTGACCCTTGCCCCCTTGGAGATTCACTCCATCTCAGCTAAGCACAACACCACAGGCACCACAGCCACTTTGACCCTCGTTAGTGTCCCCGTACTCGAGACCACCGTATTGCCTGTCTCCCACCATGTTGGCCACCTCTCTGGTCCCACTGGGAAGGTTGTGGATATCTGGTACAGAGAATTAAGCAAGGAGGAAGTGGGCTTCCTTGTTCCAGTGCCCACCTCCAGCAGGCATCGTCCCCCACCTCTGCAGGCAAAGTCCCCAGCAAGGGTGTCCTGTGCCCCACCCCCAACTGCAAAGGGCTTCTCTTTGCTTCCCCTCCTGGGCAGACCTCCTGCACACCTGGGCTCTGTCAGGGGCACAGGACTTCCCAGGAGAGACCCAGGATAGTGAGCTGGGGCAGAGAGAATAGGACACAAGCTGTGTTGACTTTGAACTGTCTCCAGGCCCCATGGCCAGGCCCATCTCTTCCTCCAGACAAGGTTCCAATCCCAGTGAGTTTCAGTGACTATCCAATTCTAGGCTTCAGAGGCCCCTGAAGGTAAGAAAAAGACTAGTCCATCCTCGGACATGGGAGGGGCTGCCTCTGGCCAACGCTGCTGTGCCTTTAAGGACCGTCATGTCACGTGGGGGCAGAGGCCACCAGCTAGCCACTCTCTCCTTCACCACCATCCCCCAAAATGGCCAATTTATCACCTTGGGTTTTCACTCTCTGAATTTTTTATCCAATGGCAATACTTGTGGGAATGTAATCCCCCTAAATCACTCCTATTTTTTACAAAACTTAAAGTGAAGACCCCAAGCAGAGGTGCCTAGAGCACTTCTCCACACTTTGTTCAGCCTCTTGGTTTGCTGCCACCGGTAAGGAGCTTGGCCCTGGGGTTACTGGTGAGGGAAATCTGTCTCTGTACACACCACCCAGCCCAGAGTCAGGGATCCGTTTGTAGTTTTTTGTTTTGTTTTGTCTTTTTTTGAGACAGGGTCTCCTTGTAGCCCCAGCTGTCCTGGAACTCTCTATGTAGACCAGGCTGGCCTCGAACTCAGAAAGATCCGCCTGCCTCTGCCTCCCAAGTGCTGGGATTAAAGGCGTGCTCCACCACGCCCGGCCTGTAGTTTTGTTTTGTTTTGTTTTTTTAAAAAAAAACATTTCTCTTCTGTACAGGATCCAATAAAAATTTACTCCTGGTTTGCACATGGCATTCTCGGACTGATTTTATTAAAACCCATCGAGCAGGGTTGACCAGCTGCTCCCAAACAGCTTTCCATCTGGGGCTTAATGCCTAGGTTAGTGCCATTCCTCGGATTTGCCATTTCTTCCAATCAAGTGACCGAGTCCCACCTTGTGCGCGAGATAGACCTAGGGCAGCCGCAGTCCGAAGCAGTGGGTGAGCCTCAAAGCCCACACCTCAGAGGAAAGATCCTTCTGGCACAGGCGGCAACCTCTGGCCTGTGCGTGGGGCCAGGTTTGACTCAGCAGGAGGACAGATGTGTGGTCTCCTGAGACCTCCGGCCTTCGGACACTGGCAGAACCCACTGGAAGTCACAGGCCGCTCCCGGTTCTTGCTGAGAGGCTGCCACCTGGCGGCAGCAGAGAAAATCATCTTAGCTTTTTTTCCCACCCAGCTACTGGACCAGAGATGGCCACAGCCGGAGCCTCTGTCCGCGCCCTTGCTCCAGACCCGCCGAGTGGAGTGGGTCAGGGTAGGAAAACCTAGGGGACTACAGTGGGTTGAGCTCATTAACAGGCTGGGCAGGAGCAGCCCCAAAAGATAAAAAATCCCCTAATATTTTGGCACGGTGGGAAAAAGTCAGACTCTCCGTGGAGTCCCTATACTTACGCCCTGTCTTTATTCAGAACCACAAACTGGTGGCAGGAGGTGCCCGGATTTCTGACTCCACTCCTAAAATGTGGGAGCGGAAAGACTGATTTGGCTAGCAGTCGTCGCTGCACATCAGTGCAGAGTTCTCCGAGGGCTGTGAACGGGTGTAGCCTCCATAGCCAGGGGTCAGGAAGCACCGCGCGGTCCCGGCTCAGGGTCACGCAAAGCGGGTGGGATTAGGACTCCGCGGGGCGGGGCGGAGCCTATGCCCCGGGTTGGCGGTGGCACAGGGCAGCCGCCAGCTTGAGAGAAGGACGGGCCTTGGAGAGCGCGCCTGCAGGGTGGGCCCAGCGGCGCGCGCAGGGGTGGGTTGCAGCGGTGGCCCAGAGGGTCTTGGGGGTGGGTTGGGAGGCCCGCGCTGGCGGGGCGGGGCCCGGCGCGCTTTGTGCCGGTGGGAACCGAGCGCCCCGGGCCGGCTGAATGGGCCAGGGCGTGGTAGCAATTCTCCTCGCTGCGAGGGGTCCGCTCAGCGCCGCAGCCCATTGCGACCTTCCCACCGCGGCGCAGCCTCAGGGGAGGAGGGGGCAGGGGCGGGCCCTGGGGTTCCCGGGAAAGGGGCGCAGCCCAGACATCCCCTCCCTGCACCGCTAGAGGTGGGAGGAGGAGAGCCGGTCTCCGCTGGAGCAGGCGGGGCTGGAGGGGAGTGGATTGGCCTAGAAGCGCACCTCGGATCCACACATGGCCCCGTGCATTTACCCGCGCTCACGAATGGGCACCGCCCACCAGGCGGGCCCCGCCTACGATTGAGAGGGTTCTCAGAGACACCATGGGTGCTCCCCAGACCAGACGGCGAGAAGGGGAAGAGGGAGGGTTTGGGTCCGAAGCCTGGCCTAGGCCTCACCAGGGCCGCCACACGCGAAGCCCGGGGTCTGGGCTCTCGGCCTGGCAGCACGACGCAGGCTGCGGTGCCAGAACGCCGGTGGAGGACGCAGGGAGACCTCCAGAGAAAAGAAGCCGGGACGGCGGGGACCCGGGGCCGCCCGCAGCCGGAGCAGGAGCCCAGACAGCTGGAAAGCAGACACGGTGCACCGAGGACACCCCCGGGCTGGAGGCGGTGCTGTCCATGGTACTTCCATCCGCGCGCGCTCCGGCACTAGGGGGCGGCGCAAACCGCTGCCACCCTCCTCTCCCAGCTGAAGCCGCTGGCTCACTCCAGGGAGGCAGCCTCGGAAGCCGGGTGGGTAGTCGACTCCACTGTGTGCTGACCAGAGCCCTGGAGGAAGAAAGAGAGAAGAGGCAACCGGAATTCTAAACAGACCTGTGCTCACTCAGATTACAACCCGGTGGCCAGGAGGACCTTCACTGCCCTTCCCCACATCCGCCCTAGCACGTAGACAGCACCTTCTCACCTAGCTGTCCCCCTGCCCTGAGCTCTCCTCTCTACTCTTCTCCATCCCCTCCCCACCCCCGACTTTGAGATGAGACAAGGTCTCACCATGTAGCCCAGACTGGTCTCCAACCCTCAGTGCTCCTGCCTCAGCTACCCAAGTACTGGGATTACAGGTGAAGAAACTTGCCACACACACCCCCTTGGCTGGGCTCCCACAAGTCACCCTCCAGGCTTCCCACTCCAGATCCTCAAGCCCCTCCCTTTTCTACCGTGCAGTGAATTCTGAAGACTTTTCATGTATTTGACACTCAACTCCAGGATGTCGGCCTTTTCCAGCTCTTGTTTCCTGATCTGCCAATTCACAGAAAGGGCTTTGAACAGGGCAGACTAAGGTGAAGGGGTGGGCTGGTCACTCCCCTCCTCCCCACTGCATCGTACCTGGTGTGACAGGACAGACTAAGGTGAGGGGGTGGGCTGGTCACTCCCCTCCTCCCCACTGCATCGTACCTGGTGTGAGTAGTGTTTCTCCAGGAGAGACTTGAGCTGCTCCAGTGATACGTTGATGCGTGCACGGTGCCTCTTTTCCATCAGAGGCTTGGAGATCTGTGGGCCAACAATCTTTAGAGGGCAGGTCCTGGCTTTCCAGCCCTCCACCCCCTCCAACCCAGGGGTCCCCACCCCACACCCCTTCAGGACCCCAGACCTTGCGGAAGCTGCTGACTGGGACGGTAGAAGTGTCCCGGGATGTGGGCTCTGTGCCCATGTTGCAATGTCTGAACACACAGTAGGCAGCACTGCCTTTATAGGGTACCTTGTTTGCATGTCAATGAGGCCCTAGGAACTGAAAAAAACCTAGAAGGGGAGGGGACAGAAAGGGATGCCAGAGAGACGGTCCCCATGTCCCTCTCTGGGGGCCCTTCCCATAGCCCAGGCTGCCTCTGGCCTTCCAAACCCTTCCCTGAAGGCTCCTTTTCTCTCTTGCTCCCAACCACTTCACTCTGAAGATCCTCCTAAGTCCATCTCCTCCAGGTACTGTTGGGCCACTCTATAGGCTCTGGGCCTCACCGCTGGCTCTGTTTGCCAAGTCCTGGCTGTTCTTTATCTCCCAAATTCTGGTCATCCACTGTGGGAGAGATCTTTGCTGTAAGCAACCCTAAATGACAGGGATGGAACTGTAGGCATCCTGGGGCCTGATGAAGATGCTTAGGCATGGAGTGCTGGCTGGTGACTTCACGGTCTAGCCATGCCATGATGCTGAATTAGTTGTCCTAATGTCAGGACAATGTAGCAATTTTCTGCCTATGACTGCTCAAAGCCAGTGGAAGGCAGGGCCGGTGGGGGCCACACAGCAACATGTGTCCCATTAAAGCATGCAGCCCGCCCGCAGGGCCACAGTGGGCCTTCTTCTTTCAGGGATCTGGAGGCTGGGACTGATAGGATCCAATCTAGATGCTTCCAGGTAGGAGGCATAGGGTGAGCCAGACCACCCATAACCCAGCCCTGGGCTTCCAGGCAGGTGACTCAGGTGGAAGACCAGTCAGTCCCTTAAGAGGGAGTGACTGGGCTTCAGCTCCTGTGGGCCTTCTCTTGAGTCCTGTGGAGGGTGAGGGGAGGACATTGATGCTCTGAGAAGAGCCCAGACTGCACTGTGCGTCCTTTCCTTTCTTTAGGCTGTGGGGTGACCCAGGGAGCCTAGCAAAGGATGTGTTACTGCCCCTGCTCTAGCTCAGGCTGGGCCTGACAGCAAGACTGCAATCCCCTCCCCCACCAACCCCCTCTGATCCAGGGGAGTTGGATTCTAATGACTTTTGTTGACAAGAAGACCGACTTTCACGGAAGTTCCTGGGTTAGAACCTAGACACCTGGTCTTACTTTGGGGACTAAATTTGGGGTTCCTGACAATGCCTGTGAGGCCGCAGGAAGTCGCCCAAGTGAGGCCGAGCTATGAAAACAGTGGTCTCTGCATGGTCTCAGTGTGGAAGGAGGGTATGTTGCTGGGTCGAGATGCCCGCCCAGCCCTGGGCATCTTCCTCACCACCACCCCAACCTGTCCCTGCTTTGGGTATTGATGGGTCGCGCCCGGTGCTCTCCCTAGCGCCAAGGAGCGTGGAGAATCTCGCCCCGCCCTCCCTTCAGGCCCACCCAGAGGCGACCACAGCTCGGGAGCATCCCCCCTCTCCCCAACTCCCCGGACACGGGCCATATCCGAGCCAATCTGGGCCCGGGACGGGAGGCGGGGCTGAAGCCCAGTGGCGAGCGCTGGCACGCGCCGGGCAGCTTTGAAACGCCAGGGCCAGGGAGGCCTGGGCCATCTCGGTGCAAAGAGCTGCGGCCTGGGGCGGGGGTGGCGGTACAAAGGCGCAGGGGGCGGGAGGGCGGCTGGCTTCGGTACAAAGAGCGCAGCCGTGCGTTAAAGGTATTGTGCGGCCCCACAAAGCGGCGCCCGCGCCCGCCCTCTCCCGGCCAAACTCCCGGCGCCCCGCAGCTCTCGGGCCTCCAGCTGTTGCACATCTGCACCGGGCCGGCGCGCGCCTCTCTCCTGCGGGTTCTCTCCACCCTCCCCGGCTCTCCAGCCACGCCAGCAGCGGGGCAATTTGTCTTCTAATTACAATACTTCCCCGGAAACTGCGGCCCGCGCCTTTCAATCTGGTTCATTAGCAAACCAATGGTCCTGGGCAGAGCTCTCCAGGCTCCCGGCGGGGCGCCCGGCCCGCCCCCACTTCAGAATTTGGGCCACTATAAAGTCCCCCTCGTTTTTCCCGGCCCGCACCCCCAACTTTCTGCTGCCTGAGCCATCACCCCTCCCAAGCTAGTGCCCCGGGGGATCTCAGCAGCACTGGGTGGGGCCACTCACGTGGGTGGCTAAGGCAGTGGAAAATTGACCGCAAAATGCGCTAATCTGCAATGTTCTGCTTTGGCTGGGGGAAGGGAGGCTGCTCACAGGAGCTCGGACTGGATTCTCAACGGTTCAGAATTCGCCACCGGGGTCCACCTAGAAGGCCAACCTCCCGCTGAGCCCACTTCCCACCAGGCCTCTCCTGCATGGCCAGTCCTGGGGCAGGGGTCCCTCCCTGGGCTGATGTCCTCCTGCTGTTTCTGCCTCCACCATTACAAAACAACCTCCTCCGTCAGCTCCTGCGGCTAAGGGTCGTGGAAGATGACAGCCATGGAGGAACCACAGGCAGCTTCCCCAGATCTCTGAGACAGCTTCTTTCCACTATAACCTCAGTTCCAAGTCCTTCCCCCAACTGTACTAAGCCCCTTCTGAGAGACCCAGGCTGAGGCTGGGTGACCCACCTGTGCTCAAGGGACAAGGGTTTGGGTAGGATTACCCCAAACCCTCAGGCAGACCAGGCTGGGAGAGAGACAGGCATTTTTCAGACACAGGGCTTGAGGCAGCTGGTTCACCTTGTCCTCTCTGTGAGCAAGCAGGACACAGGGCTCTCTTGGACTTCTGGGAAGGTCATGGACCAACTTAGAAACTGGGCTTATGCAAACTGGGATGTAGGTCACCGACTCCCTTTCCATCTTTAGCACCCGGGGTCCCCAGAGACACGTGGAAAAGAGTACAAGTCCTGGAGGAGCAGTGGGGAACCCCAGGCCCTCTTCTCTCAGTCAAGGAAAAAAGTTCCTTTTAAAACTCCTGAAGCACTCACCTCCCACCCCCTTCTCACACTGAGGAATTGGGGGGAAAGGGGGGCCGTGCCTTTGTGCTTAGCCTATTTGCTTTCTTGACTCTGGCAAAATCAAGAACAAGAACAGAGTCAGGTCTGGAAACCAAGTACGGAAGAGGTCTACAGTCCAAGGACAAGAGCCTTGCCAAATGTGGCCTCCAGGTCTGGATGGGAGCCCCTTCCTTCCTGAATGTCCAACATTAAACTAATGCTAACTGATGAGCCCAGCACAGACTACTGTGGGCACTGGTGGTAACTGAGGGGAGGAATGTGATGTTCCCCTCTGTGGCTGCGTCTCAAAGTGGAATGAAGTGTGATGGCTCTGTGTAGTTAACTATTGGGACACAGCAAAAAAGCCCCGAAGGACTCTGTCAATTGTCTCCAGATGGGGCTGGAGAGGCTGCGATGATTGTTTAACTCTCTTTAGCTGTGTTGGAATAATCCCCGAAGGACTCTGTCAATTGTCTCCAGATGGGGCTGGAGAGGCTGCGATTGTTCAACTCTCTTTAGCTGTGTTGGAATAGTCCGGCAGCCAAGGGCCCTTCAGGGGACAAAGGCTGGGGACTCCAGTGAGTGCATCAACACTGACCAGGCTGGCCAAGCTTAAGAAGAGTGAATTCAGAGAAACCCCCTTTGTCTCAGCCTTTTGTGTCTCCCCCCACAGCTGGCTCTAATCTTTAAATATTTACTGGGCCCTTTTGTGCACATATGACTTAAGCACTGAGGGTTGGTGTGCTCATAAATCACACATTTACCTGTTTCCAGACTAGGGCTGTCATGCTTTCAGCCTGGCATGGCCAGAGAAGAGGAAAGAAAACATTTGGAAGACCAGGCTGTCTCCTGGGGAGAGCTATAGTCACACTGGACAGAGATTCCCGTCCACTGCCCTCACAGTCTCCTGGCATACCGAATAGGTCAGAAGCCTTGAATAACCAGGAGCTGCAGGGGACGGCTTGCTGAAAATGACTGACCTGGCACCTGTCCTTGAAGAGGAGGGGAAATGAGCTTCCTAAACTTCTCCTGCTTGGCTTCAGACCTAGATAACAGAAGAAGAGAAGACTTTTGCCCTGGGAGGCTCATGTGTAGGTTGGGTTGTTTGCTTACGTACCTGTGAGAAGCACACTTACCTGCCCCATCTATGCATCTGTGTACCTGCCTCCTGTTTGCTCTGTCCCCCTCAGATTCTCTCTTGCTCGATAAAACAACTCTGCTAAGAAACAGAGACCTAGGGGCTGGAGTGGTTAAGAGTGCATAATGAGTTTGGTTCCCAGCATCCACATCAGTAGGTTCACAACCACTTGTCACCCCAGCCCCAGGGGATCTGACTCACCTCTGGCCTCTGACCTCTTCAGGCACCTGCACTCGTGGGGACATACACATACACACACACACACACACACACACACACACACACACTTAAAAATAAAAATAAATCTTAAAAAAAAAAGAAACAGAAATCTGATTTCATCTCACCCTGTGGTTTAACTGGGAAATGTCAAGGGCTATCCAAAACAAGACAGATCTTCAGAGTTGGGCCCAGGAAAGAAAGCCACTTAGTCTGTGGTGTTGGGATGGCTGGATGGGGGAGGGGAGTGGGCTGCTGAGAGACCCCACTGCTTGAGAAAGCTCTTTTTGTGCCTCCTGGAAGCTCCTAGGACAAAACACATTCAAATGCTTATTTATAAGAAAAGACAAGTCTGGCATCTTGGAACTGAGCACCTTTTCTTTCAATTTTGGAAGTTTGTCATCTCCTGTGTTTGGATGGAGGGCTGGTGCACTGTGAATTTGATCAGATTGCTTTCCTCTCTGGTGGGAAAGCAGATTTGAGTTTCCCTGTGACTCTCGGTGTATCTCTCTGTGTGTGACTGTTTCCTTGGCATATGCATGCCTGCTTCTCTGATATATGTGCAGCAT